ATTTAGTAGCAACAGGACAACACGACGCTGTAGATCAGGTGAAATTATCCATCCTGCGAAATATTATTGGCCATGAATCAGCACGGATTATGGCTACCTTTGTTATCCCTGATGAAGAACTAAATAAGTATGAATTCACAATGCAGCTGTTAGATAAGTATGTGAACCCAAGAGTTAACGAATGCTTTAAGAGGTACAACTTTATAAAACGAGTACAAGAAGATGGGGAGACATTTGAACATTTTTTGACAGAGTGCAGACATTTGGTTAGAAGTTGCAATTACAATGCCCTAGATCCCGATGAGTCATGTGAAGACAAGGCATTAAGAGACAAAATTGTTATGGGAATTAGGGATCCGACCACATGAGAAGCCCTCCTGCGAATAGACAAAATTAAGTTTAAATAAAGCTATAGAATTCTGCAGAACAAGTGAGCAAAGTAGATCTCAAAATTTACAGTTTCAATATAACACAGGAAATATTAATCATACACAGAAGATAGAGAAAAAGAAATATGATATAAAGAAGAAACCTTGGAATGATGAGAAAGAAGTTGAAGAAGAAGTTTTTTATGCAGAAGGTGTGCAAAAAAGCATGGTCCGAGAGAATGCCCAGCTTATGGCAAGAAGTGTAACAAGTGTGGACTAAAAAACCATTATGCAGTTGCCTGCAAGGTCAAAAATATTAAAAGTACTGAAAAAGATGATTGTGAGTCAACCTCTTCTAATGAATTTTTTGTAAGAAATGTTAACAGCAGGAAAAAACTTTGTAATGTTGATTTGATAGACACTTGGTGTAATGTTGATTTGATAGACACTTGGGAAGAGTATATAGAGGTTGAAAATTATAAATTAAAAGCTAAGTTAGACACAGGGGCAGATGTAAATGTTATTCCTTTAAATGTTTATAAAAAATGTAATTGTCAATTTAAAACCAGGCCTACTGAATATGTGTTAAAGGCATTTGATGGAAATGTGTCTCATCCTATAGGTGTAGTAAATTTAAATGTAAAATGTAAGGGTAAGAATATTTTTGAAGATTTTGTCATTGTGGATGGTGCAAGTCAGGTTCTGATATGTGGACAAACATGTTTAAATTTAAGTTTGGTAAAACGTTTTGATTCTATAAAAATAAATAAGATAGGAGGGTCTGATTTAACAGATAAATTTATCAATGAAAATTATATATCAAGTTTTCACAGGGTCAGGCAAATTTCCTGGCACATATGAAATTACAACAAATGATAAATTTGAACCAGTTTGCTATCCACCTACCAAGTGTCCAATAAAAATTAGAAATTCACTTAAAACTGAGCTATATAGATTAGTCCAAAGAAAAGCAATTGTTAAGGTAGAAAACATAGACCCCAGGGCAAGTATTAATAGAATGGAGATAGTCGAAAAGAGTAATGGTAAATTAAGAATATGTTTAGATCCCTCAGATCTAAATAAACATATAGTACGCAAACCTAGAGTTGGGGAGTCCATTGAGGAAATATGTTCAAAATTATTAAACAAAAATGTATATTCTGTTTTTGATTTATCTGAAAGTTATCACCAACTTTCAATTGATGAAAATTCTTCATGGAAATGTTGTTTCTCTACACACTATGGAACTTACAGGTTTTTAGTTTTACCTTTTGGGTTATCAAATTCTCAAGACCTTTTTCAAGAGGCAGTTGAAAAGCATTTTGGTGATATTAAAAACATTGTAGTTTGTCATGATGATATGATCATAGCAGGGGCGTCTCAAGATGAACATGATCAAGCGGTCAAAGAGGTGATAAATAGAGCAAAAGAGGTGGGTGCTAGATTTAATAAAGAGAAAATTCAATTTAGCAAAAAAGAAGTAAAGTTTATGGGACAATTTTTTTCTCATTTAGGAATGAAAGTAGATCCTGAGAGGACAGATGCTTTATGTAAATTAGAAACTCCAAAAAGTAAATTAGAGTTACAAAGAATAATAGGTTCCTTTAACTATATTAGACGTTATGTTAAAAATATGGCTGAGCACATGCAAACTTTATGTGAACTTTTAAAAAACAATGTAGAATGGCAATGGCAATGTGAACTTTTAAAAAACAATGTAGAATGTAGAACTTTTAAAAAACAATGTAGAATGGCAATGGTTGCCTAAACACCAGGAATGTTTTGATAAGTTAAAGAAAATAATTTCAAATTCTCCAGCTCTGGTACCATTTGATCGAAATAAAAAGATAGTTTTGCAATGTGATGCATCCAAAAATGGAATTGGGTGTTGTATGTTTCAAAACTATGATGGTATGTTGAAATTAGTTGCATGTTCATCTAGGTCTATGAATGAACATGAAATAAATTACAGCCAGACAGAGAAAGAGTTATTAGCCATTTTTTATGGTACACAAAAATTTCATAACTTTATTTACCAGTGTGATGTTGATGTCCAAACAGATCATAAACCAATAATTTCAATTATGCAGAAACCAATATGCAAAATTGGGTCAGTAAGGTTGCAGCGTTTAAGGCTAAAATTATTAAAGTACATATTAAATATTTATTATGTCCCAGGAAAGCATATTCAATTTGCAGATATGCTTTCTAGAGCTAGTTTAAAGGCACAAACCCTTGATTTCATTCAGTCTCACTATACTTACCAATGACAGATAAAAAAATATATCAGTTCAGAGAAGAAACCTCTAAAGATAAAGTTTTGGCTACAATTGTTGATTTTTATTATAAAGGCTGGCCTAAAGAAAACAAGATTCCAGAGTATATAAAGCCATATTACAGTATTAAAAATGATATATATGTTGAAACAGGAATTGTTTTTGTTGAAAATAAAATAATTGTACCAAAATCTCTAAAACAGGAAATGATTACTCTGTTACATAAAGGTCATATAGGAACTAGTAAAACTATTAATAAAGCAAGATCTTTATTTTTTTGGCCAAACCTTAGAGATGATATTGTCCAGTTTATAAAAAAATGTAGAATTTGTGAAAAATTCATGCCAAATAATTATAGAGAGCCAATGTTAGCACATTCAATACCAAAATTAAGGTTTAATAAAATTGCGGCTGATATTTTGAAATTTGGTGGTAAATCTTACTTAATTCTAATAGATTATTTTTCCCATTGGATAGAGATGCTATCATTAAATAATAAAACATCTGAAGCCATAATAGATGCAATGCAAGATGTTTTTTTCCAGATTTGGCTATCCTCAATTTTTAATTGCAGATAATTTACCATTTATATCATTTAAGTGTAAAAAATATTACGATAATAAACAAATTACAGTCCTGACATGTTCACCTCATTACCACCAAAGTAATGGCCTTGCTGAAAAGGCTGTAGGAATTTGTAAACAAATTAAAAAAAAAAGTTTTACAGAAAACTCTGATTATCGTGAGTTAATTTTAGAATATAATAATACTGCTATTATTTCATTAAGTGCATCTCCATCACAAATATTAAATAGTAGATCTTTGAGAACAGAAATACCAGTAAATAGTGAACAATTACAATCTAAAATTCAGAATGAGATTTATAAACTGTTATCGGACCAACAACAAAAAACAAAAGTTCAGTATGATAAACATAGTAAACGTACACCAACAACTTATAAAAGGGGGGATAATGTAGTTGTTAAGAGTAGTGTTGATAAAGTATGCTATAAAGCTGTTATTGTAGAAAAAGCTAAAGAACCCAGATCGTACTGGATAAGAAAGGAATGCAATAATAGGATAGTTAGAAGAAACACAAGACACATAAGACCATCACATACAAAATCAGATGTAGCAGACATGTATCTTGAACCTGAGTTGTATCCACACACAAACCCAAATAGTTATAAGGATAATGATAATAATGATTTAAATAATGTATGTATTCAGGATAATGATTTAACAAATTTGTTTAATGAACATAGGAATACTGATATTGTAAGTCCTCATTATAGCTGCTCAAAAAATAATGATAGTAAGAAATGTAATGTTTCAAAATTCGGACGTACAATTAAACCTAGGCTACGCCTTAATCTTTAAGGGGAAGGTGTTTGACATTAATGTAAGATAGGCTTAACGTAAACCTGGTAACTATGTCAAATATGTCAATGTCAAGTCAACACCACTTCCCAACGGGGACAATGGGCGACATGATCATGTTGTAATGTATGAATATTATTAATATATGTTCAGCCAATACAATAGTTTAATTGAGACCTTATTAACATACTTTAAACAATTACAAAGATGCAAAGATGTCAATTGTGACGTATACATGTGTATGGTTGATTACGAGAAAGGGTTTGATCGAATACAGCACAACATGATCATGCAAACACTAAAAGAAGCAGGAATTAACCACCAAGATTTGAAAATAATTAGAAACTATTTCTGGAATCAAACCGCAAATCTCTAAAGTGTAGGTGAATACAACAAATATGTGAAAATAATGTGTGGTGTGAGGCAAGGCTGTATTGTATCTCCTCCAATCTTCAATCTCTACTCTACTCTAACCGATCGGTACTGACCACTATCAAATCTCGAAATCTACAATACTTATAATTATTATGCGAAATCAATCCAGATATGTCCACTCACAAGTCATCCTGCAAGGAAAACTATTTGGACAGCGAGGTCCAGGAAGAAGAACATCCTGGTTAAAGAACCTTAGAACCTGGTTCAACACAACATCTGTACATCTTTTCCGCGCTGCTGTAGACAAGATAAAGATTGCCGTGATGATCGCCAACAGTCACGGATAGGCACATCAAAAAGAAGATCTCATTTTAAGCCTTTTTTGGTAAATGATTATACCTTTTTGTCCGTAGTCTATGCTTTTTTCAAGTGACACTTTAAACTTTTTAAATTATTTTAATTTTTATTAATGATTTTTAACCGAATCTAGTCATAACTAATAAAAATAAAGGTACGCAGTTACTTATTTCTGGAATTATATTAGAAGGGTGTAGAATACAACATAAAATTTGAATGAGAATAAAAAGTTCTTCCTACTTACCGTTCTGTTTTCGATCTTTCTTCGGCCACATAATTGAAACCAGTTATGCTAGAGTGTTCGCAATAATCCTTGCAATACCTTCGAATTCTTCTCATTATAATACTTTTTAACTCTTACTGTGTGTAAACATCTCAATATTGATCACATATTGAGCTTTAACCTACTGTTTTAATTGTTCAAATGCGATGTTTAACATTCTAAATTTATTTCAATTAAAGTAGACATGTACTCCTACTTCCTACACAATAATCTATTATTAGTAGGTACACCTATCTTTTTTGTAAATAAATTGAAAGAATTTAATAATATATTTAGGTATAATAACAATATATGTTTTAACAATTATAATAACTAGATATTAAATTTAAATAAAAAATTACATTGCATATCTAATCGATTTCGAAAAATCCTATTTTTACTAATAAAGTAGAAAGAAGTCAACCCAAGCATTAATGCCTTAAGCAAATTTATCTTAATTTTAATTTTGTGTAAATGTCACCAAAATTGTTATGTATTATCAGAGCTGAGCCTAGAGGTTTTGCCGCCCGGATGCAAGAACCAAATTTGCCGCCTTATCATTGGTTTTGGAAATCGTATATAAGACAACATCGAAAATTAGGGAAAATTGATAAAAACAATTTTGAACATTTAAATCATAAAAATATATTTATTAAGTCAACGAATAGATACATACCAGAGTTTATACAAGATATGTACCGGGTGGTCCAATAAGCCGATCTCTCGGCTATATATCAGAAACTATTAATCGTATAACTTTGAGAAAAAAAATTCCTTAGTAAAAGTGGCCAAGAGAAATCGCTGTACCAGAAAGTCTCTTTCTATCATCAGCCATCTAAATCAGTAAATAACAGTTTATAATTTGAACGAAAATAAAGACCGAAAATATTTTTTTTAAAATCACACTAATAGGCAACTTGTCATTAAATTCGCAACTATCTTTCGGTAAAACTTACTCGCATGAGAGAAAACACGTATAGATTTCGGTCCAAAATATTAATTCCCCGATAGTTTCAGGAAATCCCGAAAATATCAAGGAATTCTCTAATGCCGCCGCCGTTGCATGTAATAGCATCGGTCAGCGCCAGTTACACACAATTTTGGTACTATTGTTATTATTATACTAATATATATTTACATTACAAGGAAAGACCGCGATATCCTCTTAATAGCAACTATTTGGCCAGTTATTTTTTTGCACTTTCCGTCTTGGCGTTTTGGATTTTACTTTTTTGATATTTATATTTTTGGGTAAATTTTGCCGCCCCCAAGCGAGCGCCGCCGAGGTACCATGCACCCCTTGCACCCCGGTACGGCTCGGCCCTGTGTATTATTTTATAAAGTAATAGTGTGGGAAAATTCAATTTTAATCCGATACTTAAACGGTCAAAGTCCAAAGTTTAACCATTGGGTAAACAGTGATTGTGGAGCGGCGTTTCTGAGCAGTCCAGAATAGTGATAGACATAAGTATAAAATACCTGTATTAGTTGTGGACGCCATTGGAAGAGTGATGAGGATAAATAATAAACAAAAATATTTTCTGTTTATTTTCATCCGAGATCTCGTGCGTTGATAGAATAGTGACATAGTCGGAAAATGATTCACTTTGTACCTCCCACAAAATTCTACTTATAGTAATAATTAATCTTCCGTATTAATTTAGCTCGTAAAACCGACCACTTTTAGGTATAATTTAAACGTTTTGACCTTCAGGTTGAATTATTTATAAACTATTTTTAACGTTATTTAAGACTTGATTATTTTAATTGAATATTGTAAGGCAACGCACTTTATAGAAGAGGTATATGTTATGTATGTATATCAATAATTATTGTTGTTATTGTTTATTAATCTAGGACCCAGGGATGGGGTTGAGTATTGACTTTTATGTTCCCTCGGTACCTTGACGTTTTTTATGTTTTTTGGGGCGTAGATTCGACTTTTCGAGGGTACTAGGCTGAAAACCCAAAAAAAAAATAATTTAATGTTATTAACAATTTAATTGTTTAAATGATTGTATCTCCTAAACTATTATTATTTTACCAAAATGAAAATTGTCCATTTTGTTAAAAAAATACAAAACATTATTAAATTAAACAAATTTTATTTTTTGTTACTTGGTGAAAAAGTAAGTCTGAAGATAGACAAAGATTCCATTGATTTATATTTAATTAATTGTCTAATAGTACCAGTTAACCATGGAGCATATTCCTTCGAGATTATGAAAGTTCGATATAGAACATGAATGTCAAGTAGAGTAATATTATAAAAGAAAAAATTTATTTCAAATCCTTTATAAAAGGTATATAATAAGATATAAATGAATGAAATGAGGTTGAATGCTCGAATAAATGAACTTTGAAAATAAGGCTATTATCGAGCACAAGTTAATTAAATCTAGCCCAAGTACTTTCGCTTAAAATAGCATCTTCAGGGGCATTTCGTCAAAATAAGAACTATCCGGCAAGCGTAGGATGTGGAAACATTAAAAATAACATAAATTGTACAAAACACTACACTAAAACGAGGACAAACAGTTTAAAATTACTTCTACGCTACATTCTCTGTCGGACAGAGTAATTCGCTTTCAATTTAGTCGTTACGAATTGGCAAATTAATACCTTAAAGCTTGGTACACTTATACGAGACAAACGGTATGCATACGGTATGCGAACGCTATATTCGTTTGGCTGTCTAGCTCGTCTATCAGTTTGGACGGCGCTACTAGACGCAGCGAACATTTTTATTTTCTCATCAAATCGACATTGTGTGAATGACGTATTCCTTCTTAGAGAGACGTGAGAGAACAGTAAACTGGTTATTGTACATATCTTTATTTTTGTAAGAAATAGACACGATAAATCAGTACCCAAATTATAAATAAAATGAATCATTTCACATATGTGTGTTCGTTGTTGGTTTTATCGCTTTCCACGGATCGAGATAAGTATGCAATCAGTACGATGTAGATATATTTTCAAGGATCTGTACGCGTACGGTACGTATACCGTTTGGCTCGCATATCTGTACGCGCCTTTATACAGTGTCAAGACGTAGAAACTTGTTGATGGCGCATATATGGCGTATAAAATTAATTTTAAAGGGAATAAAATATAATCAAAACTAGGGAAAAATAAATAAGCACAGAAATTTAATTTACATTAATTTATTAGTGCCGACTAGTATAATACATATAAAAATAAAGCACCAGGCTTTAAAAATATCTGTTATTCCAAATATGAATATAAGTAAAACATTTACTTGCTGAAAAATATTTTTTTGTGATAGAGAACAAAGGGAAAACCGTATAAGTATGAAGTATCGTAATAACACTAAGGATCGCTTGTTTGCTAATAATGGTACAACTATTTTCTTTAATCATTATTTCTTATTCGCTTTGGATATCAAATATTTATTTTTATTCATCATTTGATTTATCATTTGATTTGTCATTATATTTATCATTTGCCGAACTATAAGCGAATACTTAAAAATATATATCTATATAAATATATAGAAATAAATTACTCTTCTTATTTCGATACCAAATTAAAATTATGATTAAGGAAATATTTGTAACAGTATATTAATCTATATTTGTATAATGGTATTTTGTAAGCTATTTCTGACATTATGTAATATAAATAATTCAATTTCTTTTTTGTTTACAGTTCAGTAGATTTTTTCGCTGATGAAAGCATTTTCACTGGGTTACTTTAGTATGGTCAATAGGGTTTAACCCTCCAAGGACGAGTGTTAACAAACATTTCAATCGAAAGTGTTTCATGGGCAACGGTAACAGGGCCAGTGCTATGCTTCAACTGCATATTATTACCCCTGGTTTTATCCAAGCTACTCATTTTTTATTCAGGCTGAGTCGACCTGGGGCCTGTAGATATTTAAAAATATCTAGATGTTATCACTCGCTCTGGAGATCGGTCCCCGGCCTTCTGCATGAAAGTCATTCCCTTCTGATGACTCCTACCGTCTGAGCTATCCGACCCAATACTAAAACTAACTAGATATAATTATTAATCTACATTTAATTTATAATTTTTTGAAAATTTCGTCTTTAGATGGTTAATTGTTGAAAAATGCCAAAAAATTATAAAAATTTAATAGTATTTATTTTTGTATATCTGTATACAATATATTAAAAAAGTTTTTCCTGTTACATATAAAATTAACTCTGCTCAAAAAATATAGATATAAAATACACAAAAATATATTTAGAATTCATAATGGACAGAAATGTATCAGTCTATTAATTATGAGAACAAAACTTTAAGTCTTCAGTAATAATATTTTAAGTTTTTATTAATAGGATAAAGAGATTCGTTGCCATAAGTATAATAACGCACAAGGTAGTTGTAGTTGTATCTAAATAAACTGCTGTTTATGCAAATAAATGGTTGTTAAGGTTTAGGTATATACACTTGCCAGCAAACATCAACTCATTTAGTACATTTTAATATTTATAATGTGTTAAGATCATTTAAATCAACTAATTAAAAGCTCTGTACCTATAACAAAAGATATAAAATCCTATTGTGGGAGTATAAAGTAGTATCACCTCCAGCCAGTAGACAATGGCAGCTAATCTAGAAAGCTCAACGTAGATGGCGCTAGTGTAGTTGGAGGTCACGTCAACTGTCCAAATCTATATATTTTTAACTAAAAATTTCGTTTATTTCGCTGTGTAGATTTAATTTGGGATAATAAGATGCCTCAGTGTTGTACTGTTCCTTTGTGCTCATCAAGAATATCAGAATACAGGTTTCTCAAAGATAATCTGATAAGAAAAAAGTGGATTGTGGCAATAAGAAGAGATAAATATGTGCGACAGAAATGCATTTACTCGTATCTACAATAAAATAAATATTATATATAAAGGATAATAGTTGTATGCGTTATGTTAGCAAATTTTCGGAACAACATAATAGATAAAAATTAATAAAATCAACATAAATACTATTTATTTGTCTTTTATTTTGTTATACTGATTAATATTATCTACTTCGGTAAGAAATAGTATTTTTCAGCCAATGCTATAACCATATACTACTCAAAAAACTCTGGCTTGAGGGATTATTTCATTATGAATTAAATCATTTTTTCTACCTATAGAAATACCTATATATTA